ATCCAATCCCCGTCGAAACGCCACACGTAGATATTCTCCGCTTGATGATCCCGTTACGATTCCGTGCCCACTTGTTTTCTAGTTCGTGATCTTGGTTACGCCATAGTGAGACCTAATGCTTGGCGGGCGAAGTAGACGCTGTCCTTGTCCAGGCCCAATGTTCACTCCTGTTACGGCGATCGCCCGAGGCCAAATCAAACCCCCGAGACGACTACAGGTCACTTGCTCTCCACAGTGCAACTTGAGGTCTGTATTGATACTTAAGCCTATACCTGCCTGGATTTCTACCTTCTATGTCTTTTACTTGTTAAATCCCTTACCAGGCCCGGCTGCATGTCCTTTCTTTCCTTGTCCCATCATCCCAGCTGTATTATCTTCAGATCCACCGGATCCATGGCGTAATCATTATGGTCACCCTATTATGGGTACACGCATCCGGATCCAGGTTGCTTGGATCCACTTCCTTGTAAGTGTACACTCGTCATGGATCTGAGCTCTCCGATTATCCAACATCATCTTGCAACCGTCTGTGATCTCCATTGGCCCACGAAAGTTCCAGATCCTCTGCATCCATCATTCCTGGATCCTGGATCCAGGTCACTCTATGCGGGATCCTCCCTCTTCGAATCGGAACTCGGAAGTATGGGATCCGGGTCACCTCGCGGTGGATCTTGACTTCTCATTAGCCGTGGCTGCTAGATCCACCTTCAGATGACACCTGCCACCATTCCTTCATAGGATCCACACTCGATCTACCCGTACATAACGTACCCCATATCCACCCAAGTGGATCCAGGTAAGGGTGGATCCGAGATAAGTCTTGGTGGATCTTGCCTTCCCGTGCATCGCTCATACCAGATCCATCGTCGTTTCATACGGGGTGCTGCTCGTCACGGCTAATCCACTACAGGCAACTTGCATCCCGGCCGGACAATCCAAATCCTCTCTAATCACTTGAATTTGTCACTAATTCGGGATAGTGACCCATCGCTAGGTCCATTCTCTTATTTGTGAGAAAGCACTTCACCACATCTTCCTCTTCGAATGTACGCATCAAAATGTCATCGTCACTTGACGAACCTTCGCTGTCAACCTTACGACGTCCGGCACCACTTTTGGAAGCTCGTGCACCACCCCGGCGACCGAATGAACCCTCGTCACCAGCGTACATTTGTCGCATACGGCTCTCCGAACGTGGCGTAACCATGTGCGAGTCTCGAAACTTTAGTGAAGCTTCGGTAGTGCCAAAGGCACCACGGTCAGCTCCACGCTTGGTCGGAGGAGTATGTTCGAGTCGTTGGGGCGTCTGCGGCAGCGGAAACTTGGACGAATCTTCGTCATGAATGGTCGGTCGACTCACAGGCTGATTCCCAGCGTTGATGCCAACAGCGCCAAACGCCTTCCGAAACTTCTTCTTTCATTTCTGGAGAGCAGCTCCGGCCTCATGAGGACTCCAATCTTGGAGCGACATCGTCGATGGGTACGTCTCATTCTCGAAGCCCAGCGACAACAGTAGCGAAACTGAGTCCTCGGCAACTTGGCTAGTCGACACCAAGTTGACTGGGTATTGAAGTTCCTGCTCAAGCGCAGGTCAGTCGGCCTTTCTCTTGAGGATGGGCTTAAACAGCTGCATCCACTCATCATTCTGCATCAGCGCTTGTACGCGGTCAAAAACGCGCTTGGCGGCCGGTGTACAGTACTGCACCCCGTTTTCGCGGGGGTGGACCATATAAAAATTGCAAAACAAATTAGAGTTTAGCTTTCAAACTTTAGATTCAGGATCATCACATCCGGAAGTTTACCAAGGGTTCAATGGCGCGAAAACGGGGTGCAGGACTGTATCACCGTTGATAATTGGGCGAAGTGCGTTCAACAATGCTGAATGCTTTGCACTCGCCACCGAAGGTTTAGAACCCGTCGGTCCCATCGTCATAGTCTTCATAGACCGGTCCCAGTCCCACAACGTCATCCAGCTCGTCGGCGAGGTTCCTCAAAAGGCACCTGGTCGCCCCGCTCAGCCCCGATGATAGCGTGGCCGTCTTCGGTGTCGCTGCGCCTGGCTCTGGGGCCGGCGTCTTGATTTCGTAATCTTCATAATCGTGGGCGTCAGGACCGATGTTTGCCTCGTCATCAAAGCTCACCGAAAGCTCGGTGGCGGCTGCAAAGCGTGTAGTAGGGCTTAAACCCTCGTTGCGAGCTCCGCCAGACTTGGCAGGCGTAACTGGTACCGTTGGTTGTCCTTTCGCCATGTTTTTTGTTTTTGTTTTCGTTTTCTTGTTCTTGTTCTCTTGGTAGCTCGTAAACTGGAAGGCCATACAAACAATTCACAATGGTCACAATCTGTTCCGGGGTCGCGGCACCGGTTGTGGTGTTGGAATTCCCACGTGAACTCTAGCTACAAATGTAGTTAGGACGTTCCCACAACAATACGTCTACTAGGATAGCAAACGATCGTTCGGGCGGCCCGAAGACCCCAGTTCTGCCCTTGCACCGGGACAAACTGGACCTTGTAAATTACTTACATAGGCCAACCAGTAAAAATAAGAACACGCTACTAGCACGAGCAAAAATCTAATCGGTGTTATGAATCCTCGTGGTCCCAACAGCGGAAGGGTACCAGGCACGGGTAAGCCTTTTACGAGATCACCGAGTGTTCAACACTCGGTTGGAAGAATAAAAGAGAGGCAATTCAAGCTCTCCCAGCCGTGCAAATAGGCAACAATAAGCCGTCACGTAGAACCTCCCGATAGTAATCGGCCAATACACACACAGTCTCTTGGCTTTGCCGGATGAACCCTCGCTACAGAGCTTCGACTTCACAGACAGACATAATACACTCAAACAAGCTTGACCAGCCGCTTACCTTGAAGCCAGACGTCGCTCTGTGTGCTTGAGTGGAAATTCTGTTCTGTATTTATGTTTGCCCTTTCGGGCCTATTCCTAATAAGAAGTCATAATCAAGTATACAAATACCAAGTAAACAATGATCCGTTATGGATCTTCTTGCACGCCAAGCGTTGTCTGCACCGTTGCATGAGTATCTTTCACGGCCCGCGCCCTGTCCCAGACGGTGAACGTGCCTTCAAAGGGTCGCTGAGTCTTCCGCGAGCTCATCCCAACCGCCACCGAGGGTTTGTACCGTAGATGGTCAGTTCTTGGCCGCTGAATGCGAATCCGGCCAGTCCATTATTAATAAAAAGGACAGCCTGGATTGAGTGACATATGGACCGTATGCAATATTCGCTGAGTGTTCGGTAGTGACGCCGTCGAGTCTCTTGCGCCTTGGGGTCACCGTACATCTCATGACCGAAGGTTTGTCGCTTGAACATCTTGGGCGGTGCAGCATCTTTGTCGACGGGCGATTATCCGCAACTCTGGAGAAATCACTACATCACATTGGACATATTGCGAGAAATTGTCCAGAGAAGAAGAATAGCGGTGCCAAGGAGATCAAGGTCTCGCTAGCGGTCGGGACGGGCACGAGCGCCGACACACGCGTGGATCCTGGATAGCGGATCCAGCGTACATCTGGTCAAGACCGCAGAACTGTTGAAGAACGCAGTGAAATGTGACGATCAATACAAAGCGGTGAATTGTGAAAACGTTAGGGTAATCAAGCTCTGTGGAGCTCAAGACGATCGTGAATGGACGAGAAGTCGTGGTGGACATTTCGGAAGTTCATTACGCTAAGAACTTGGCCGACAACATCATGAGTTACGGTAGATTGGAGAAGAAAGGTCTGTACCTTAAGCGTCACCCCGGCAAAAGCTACATGGTGCAACAGAAGCGTGGGGTACGCGTGTTCGAGATTCACAGACACCACAACGTGTTGATGATCGACACAACGGGGAATACAAGCAAGCAGGCGCGGATTAGTACGGTAGTTAATCAACTAAAAGAAGCAAACAGCTCAATGAACGAGGCTGCGACTGAGACAACGCTACTGGAGCTGCACAAGCGTCTGGGGCATATCGCGTACGACACGGTAGAGCGCATGGCAGACGCGGACGGCTCAGGCATCAAATTGACGAGGCGAGAGAGCATGAACTGCTTATACTGTGCACAAGGTAAGCAGAGTAAAAACAACCAGTCGCAGAAAGATATGGAAGCGGACACACCCATTGATAAGATCGGAGGCGTCATTGGGAGATATATCAAGGGGCCCATGACACTCAAGGACAGGCGCGGTGACAGGACCGACGGAGGCAAGGAGTACACGAGCGTGTGTCCGTTCTGTAAGGCGACAGGGGTGCGCCGTCAGATTAGCGAAAGAGAGAATCAGGCATCGAACGGAAAGGCCGAACGGATGCACAGGCGCGTGCTGAACACGGTCAGATGCATGTTATTCGCTAGTGGGCTATCACTGTACTTTTGGGGAGATGCAGTCGAGTACGCAGCGTACGTACTCAGCCGCAGCTCGTGTAGAGCGAACGTCATATGCATGTCGCCATTGGAGATGTTGACGGGCTCAATACCGAACATGTCAAACATCGTCACGTTTGGCAGCCCCTGAACTGCTTATAGAGACGCCGGCAAGGAGACCTGGAAAGCAAGAGCACAAGTTGGCATGATAATAGGCAAGAACGACGAAACGAAGGGCTACAAAGTTTACTTACCCAAGAACCGAATTGTGATCACGACCCAGCACATTTAGAACATCGAGACCTTGGACGCCAAGCCAAAGCGCGCAGCTACAGGAGCAGCTCGAGCTCGAAGATCCAGAGCTGAAGAATGCGTTCAAAGACCGAGAGAAGGCGACGAAGCGGAAGGAGACAACTGTAGAAGAAGAACTCAACAGTGAAAAGACCACAGGAGAAGAAAACAAGTCGCTGGATAGATGAAAGAAGACAAAGAAGAAGAAGAAGAAGAAACCGTCTAAGAAGAAAAGCAGTAAGAGGCGAAGCACAGTGGCAGAAGGAGATGTAGCTGAACAGGAAGTAGAAGATGAAGGACACGTGCCAACCGAATAAAGGGAGGCCACACGCATGCGCACGCGCAACATGGGCGCAAAACACGTTCCAGTAAACCGTGTGAACGTGGTGAAGGGAGAGGATCCGCAGAACTACAAGCAAACAATAAAGGACCCGCGCGCAGACAAATGGAGGCAGGTCATCAAAGAGGAGCTCGACACATTGGAACAGAACGGCACGTGGACGGTGGCCGCCGGGAACGAAGTGCTTGCGCACCAAGGGTCTTCAAGCTCAAGGCCCATGTGGATGGTACCATTGAGCGGTACTAGGCTAGGCTGGTAGCGCGGGGAGACTAGCAAGAATACGGTGTAGATCACACGTTCACGCTCTCAGCCGAACTAGAGTTAGTGTCCGGGAGAGTGATACTGGTGGTGTCGCGTATCTGGAAGGTGCCGGCACGTCACGGATGTGTACCGAGTGCGTACGTGAAGGCCAAGAAAGAGGTCGAGCTGATCATCATCCTGCTGATCCCGCAGGGCATGGAATTTACGAAGGAGCAGCTCGATGCACAGGGCGTCACGAGTAAGGACAAACTGGTGCTGATCTTGGAGAAGGATAGCTACGGGCTGAATCAGTCGGGCCGATTGTGCAACCACTTGCTACACAGTATCTTAGTAACGCTGGGGTTCCAGCAGTGCTACACAGACAGGTTTTATACATCAAGATCGAGATGAACGGGAGGACACTCGTAGGGATCTACGTGGACGACATCTTAGTGACGGCAACAAGAGAGGACAAGGTTGACAAGCTCTTCGCCGAGATGTAGATCGTAGAGCTAAATGAATTGGGTGTGGTGTCCAAGTTCCTGAGGATTGCATTTCAATACGACGATGAAGAAGGGTGAGCACCGGACCAGGAGCAAGTAATCCAGGATCTACTAATAAAGTTCGAGCTGGATAACGCGGCAGCAGTACGTACGCCGATCTCCGGTAGATACGGTGGCGAGGAGACCAGTGCAGTACTGCCAAGCAAGGGTGCAGGAAGCCCAAGGCGGCCAACAGTGCAGACTTTTCAGTCTTTGGTGGGCAGT